GCAACAGAGTGAGACTCCAACTCAAAATAAATAAATAAATAAATAAATAAATAAATGTTGGCTACGATTTGGTTTGGTGGCTCATGCCTGTAATCCCAGTTACTTGAAAGGTCAAGGGGAGAGGACTGTGTGTGACTAGCCTGGGAACACAGGCAGAGGGGGAGAGGGAGGGAGGGAGAAGGGGGAGGGAGAGACACCAGTGTTTTTTTTGAAGTGTTTATATTCTTTTGTTTTCTATTTTGTTTTGTTTTTTTTTTTTTGAGTTGGAGTCTCACTCTGTCACCCAAGCTGGAGGGCAGTGGCATGCTCTCAGCCACTGCAGCCTCGATCTGCTAGGCTCAGGCGATCCTTCCGCCTCAGCATTCTAATAAGTAGGTGGAACTATAGGCATGCGCTACCATGCCCAGCTAACTTTTTTTAATGTATTGTAGAGATGAGGTCTTGCCAAGTTACCCAGGCTAGTCTCGAACCCGTGGGGTCAGGCAATCCTCTCACCTTGGCCCCCAAAAGTGCTGGGATCGTAGGCATGAGCCACGACATCTGGCCGGTTTTGTTTTCTTAAAAGCAAATCAACTGTCTAGCTCCTGACCACTGACTGCACACAACATGGCAGTTACTAGTCACATACAGCTCACTTTTGTGTAATCAAAATGAACTTAAACAATAGTACTAAACGTTTAACTATTTACATTTAGAAAGCTACAGTGGCTGGTGGGAGATCGTACTGGACAGTGCAGGTCTAGAAGCCGGCCAGCCGGCTGGATTGGAGCAAACGAGCTCGGAAGGGCGAGGAATGGCAGGGCCGGTGACACAAGGACAGTGCTGCCACTGGCTTCCAAGTACGAAGAGGAAAGGAAAAAATGCCTCAGGAAGTCAGCTAGGTGAAAGCCAGACACAAAGGCCACACAGCGTATCACTGCATTTATATACACTGTCCAGAGAGAAAGTAAATTAGTGGTTGCCAGGGCCTGGGTAAGGAAGGGAGGGAGGTGAAGGGGTGTGACTGTGAATGAGCATGGGATTCTTTTTGGGGTGAAAAAAAGGCTGTGGAGATGGTTGCAAAACTAAACAAATGAGGCCAGTTATGATGGCTCACACCTACCATTCCAGCACTTTGGGAGGCTGAGGAGGGAGGACTGCTTGGGCCCAGGAGGTCATGGCTGGAGTGAGCCATGATCCCTCCATTACTCTCCAGCCTGAGC